GTCAGTTGGCATTTCTGTGTGATGTTTGCATGTTCTTCTTGTGTTTGTGTGGGTTTCCTCCGGTTGCTCCGGTTTCCCCCAGAAGTCAAGATGTGCTATAGATGAATTGGGTAAGCTAAATTTTCCGTGATGTGTGTGAGAATGAGAGTGTATGGGAGTTTCCCAGTGATGGGTTGCAGCTGGAAGGGCATCCACTGCATAAAACAAATACTGGATAAATTGGCAATTGATTCCGCTGTGGTGACCCTATATTAATAAAGACTTGAGCCGAAAAGAAAATGAATTAATTCATTTATATTGTATCTATCGAGATAATATGCTTTGTTTTCTACAAACTTTTTTGCTTGTCTGATATGTAATAAATAATAAATTATAATCATATAATAATCTGTAACCATTTCCTTTAAGAGTTTACTTATGTAAGTTTGTTTCAGCCATATTTAAGAGTCTATTCCAAACTTTTCAATGAAAGAAATGCTCTTTCCACACTTGAATGTTCTGTTCTTGCCCTGCCGACAGACTGACGCGTTGAACAGAGCAAAGAAATGTTTTAGACTTCAATACCGGGTTTTGTTGAATTGTCTGCACTATTTTTGTTCATTGCCAAAAGTATCACCACCTAAAAATGCTACTATCTAGAGGCTTTTAAATTTGTGTCTGCATGACATGACAAGTAAAACGAAGACATACAGCATAACAGTGCCAGCTCACTTCCAGCTCTCATATCCATCTGTCGTTTTGCCAGCGAATGTGTGCCTGTGCTTTACATCTACATTCGGGTGCAGTGACAGAAGCATAAGAGCCCTGCCTGCAAGTTTTAACAGAGCGGCTCACATGGATCTCTGCACCTCCTGAGCTTTCATTCGCAGGTCTCAGCAGAATCAGAGTTGGTGTTGCATTACATATTCGTTGAGAGACTCACTCAGCTCCCTGCCTCCTACAAGCCGGTTTAGCGTTTCCAATATGCTGACAGCACACTTCATCCCCCTCAAGATTTTGGACCTGTGAAAGGCAAAAGGCTTTATTCGTCCTTACAAGCGGGATCACTTAAAAAAGCACAGTTGATCGAGCCAGAACAACACGAGGGAGCAAAACCCTCCTGTATATATAGTTTTGCAGTCAATGACACTGACATGCAATATTTTGAGCTTCAATAAGCACAGTCCCTGCCAATTGTCTGCCTTGTATGCAAATAACACGTCCAAGGACAGAAGGATAACCAAGAAGTGTTCATTTACAAATAAACAAATCTTTTATGACACCTACAGAAAACAACAACGAATTCATACAGTAAACAAGCAAATAAGGAACCATTTTGTTGGAAATCAGTGGCTATAGTTGCCGCCAAAATCTACATAGCCTAAATAAAAATAGCCAGCCATCGTCTGTAATAAACAATACATGATGAATAATGTAAAGAAAGAATGATGGTAACGATTAACAACAACAAAATAAACACAGTTTGAAATTAACGTTTATAGGGACAAAAAAGTGTTGTATGCGCCTACCTGCAGCCGGAGTTCAGTGACACGCGCTCCCGTGAAAGGTGACGCACCGGGGACGCACTCGGTCATCCACCGTTTCTTCTTCAGACAAGCTCCGCGGTGAACGAAAGCTCGTTCAGAGTCCCCGCACCTTGTTTTCTTCCCGGTCACGTTATGTGAAGCCTCGTTCACGGCGCTGTAGTGTTATATTATTTGTCGGTGAGTTACGGAGAGCGTGTCTTTCTCCCTCTGCCTCTCTGGCCGCGCGCCCGCTGAGAGTGAACGTGAACTGCTTTCTGCTCTGCCTTAAATATCCAATTTCATCGACGCAGCGCCGCGGGCCATTTGAGTCCGTGATGATGATGATGATGATCATGATGATGATCTGTGAGAAGCGACGCCGCAACTGGTGCAGGAGGAGTCCAGATCTCGAGTGATGTTAAATGGGTTATTAAAGTCCCTCGACAGTTATTGCGGGAAAAAAAACTGTTCTTAGAAAGTCTTGCTTTCTACAAACAGATTCTTTCTTTTTTCTTTTGAGTGTTTGAAATTCCAGTTTTAATTTATTTTAAGAGTAAAAATAATCTAATTAATAATAACAAAATTAAGTTTTGTTTTATTTATTATAGTATATTATATTACAGTAGATTATTATATTATATTATATTATATTATATTATAACATAATATAAATATATTATATTATAATATATTATTATATTGTAATATAATATATTAAATTCAACAGCTCTGTCTGGTTCTCGAATTTCATTGGCTGATAGCCTTGCCATATTCTGCAATATCAGAACTCATACAGCCTCTTCACCCTTGTGTATTACTCCGCCACAGCAGATCAATAAACTCACCACAGTTTGACAAATATTGCATCTGCTGGACAATTTGAGGCTTTTTGAGTTGAAAATGTAGTTGTTTAGATTGCTTCTATGCAGTTTATTTATCAGGATATTTTAAATACTTATAATTTCTGATACAGCCAGTCGGCATCTATCAGCCAATCATTGAGCACAGACAGTTGATGTTGTCCATCCACAAGATGGCGACAGAGATTGCATAATAAGCCGTTAGAGGAGAAAAGATCGACATACTTTCAAACTACAGCTGTTCAAGACATTATAAATTTGGTAAGTGACTTTCTGATATCTCTTTTTTATGTTGCAGTGCTAAATTTATACCATAGAAATTGTATTGAGTGTGAGATGGGACTCGGATATCAGGAATGTATGTATTTTGTGTTGGCCACTCTTTTCTCTGAGTTATATTTTGGTTGGCCATCTGTTTGTTTGTAATGAGTCTTCTGTTTTCCTTTCTGCAGACTAGTTCAGTAAAAAGAAAGAAAGAAGAAATACCCAGATGTGTTTAGCGTTTTTTCTTATCGCAAACACAACAGTAATCTGGTAGTGATTGTGTTGCTTTGACTTTTTTAGCGTTCATTTTTGTGATATCCCGATTGCAACAAAGAAATACTGGGATATTTCTGTAGACTTATGGCATTTCATGCCGTTCAGCCTAATAATCTTAAAATGTGAGCACAATCACCTGTTTTTTCATCACTTTAGACATTATGCTAGAGAATCATTCAAATACTAGCTCTTATGCCGAGTTCAGACTGCATGATTTTAGCCCCCATTTTGACTAGCAGATGTAACAATCACAAAATATGTAACAATCACACAATGTGAACTATCAAACACGCGATCTGAGAGAATCACTGATGAATCGTGCTGTGTGAAATGAGTTTTGACTGAAAATAACATCTGCGATCGCCTACAGCCAATGAGCAGCATTCACTAGTACGGATACCTGCTGGCCAGCGGAAAGTTGGGGGAGAAGATAAAAGTGTCATTTTTAGTTTATTTGGACCCAAGAAATGGAGGAAAAACAAGTGTAAATTTGGCAGGAGCACCCGTGTCTGTTTGACTGGTCATCTGTGCAATATCACAACCGAGTCAAAAAAGAAAGTTAAGAAGAAATTGCCAATTCCCTTCAAACCCAGGTGAGCAAATATGTAAATCTTCTACCCCATTAAAGGCTTCTTTCTCATTATGTAGTTAATAACAAGATATATACCATGTGTTTTTGGTTGCAAGACATAGTTTGGATGAAGTTGTCGGCGATTCTTCCTATTGTAAAGTCATGCAATGTGAAAGCCCCTGCCGCCGATCCATCTTGCAGTGTAAATAAAGCAGCGACAAAACACTAGCCCAGATAGTCATGCAGTGTGAAAACATCTGTGACACGACTACTTTCAAAATCATGCAGTCTGAACTCGGCATAAAGTGACGTTGGTGAATTAGTAACGGCTTCTGCTGTTCTGGTGTTGACTGCTGATGTTGATTAATGACGGAAGAAAGTAGTTCCTCTTACAAAAGGATTTTGAGACTCTCTGTGTTTCATTTTTTAATATACACGAATATGTCGTCGAACTGTTGTATAAATGCAATACCACACTCATAGCAGTGCGATATGGCTGTATATCGTCACTGGTGGGACAATAAGGCAAATTATATTGTATTATATTATATTATATTATATTATTATATTATATTATATTATATTATATTATATTATATTATATTATATTAGATTAGATTAGATTAGATTAGATTAGATTATTCATTCATTCATTCATTCATTTTCTTGTCGGCTTAGTCCCTTTATTGATCCGGGGTCACCACAGTAGAATGAACTGCCAACTTATACAATATTATTACATTATATTATATTATACAAATTATTGTATCATAATTATTGGTTGTTTATTTTTATAGTATTAATGATGATAATGAATATGCAACCATCATTATTGTTGTCCTTATTGATATTATAGTCTTTTCTGTTTCAGTTATTTTACTGTGTGTCTACTATGAACCAATATTTGATTTTTATCCTGTTCTGTTTATCTTTTTAAAAATCATTGAAATAAAGAATTATGGAAATAGTTTATCAAAAATACAGCATTTTAAGAGTGTAATAATATTTGACTATCTAATTTGTATTTTAAATATATTTACATGATAAAAATATTTGGGATTTTTATATTTTAATTTTGACTTAAGGATACATTCTACTATGTCCTGTAATATATGCTGATAAAACAAATTATTTTATTGTGTTTTATTTATGTATTAGAAACAAAATAGCACTTAGACCCCTCACACAATAATCCTAGCATATTGCAGTTATAGTTATAATATAGTCATATTTAGGCTATATTTAGTTGTTTAATAACATGAATAACTGTGATTAAATTGATATAATAGTTCTAAATACAATATAGAATAAATTAAATCAGCAAAACTCAGTAAGAAGGTGCGAGCAACCTAAATGGCATTCACTTGTTAAATATCCTCTTTAGCAGTCAATCACGACGACCTGAGGACAGTTGCTCAAAACTCACACTCCCATAATTCCTCGGTCGCATTGAGGAATTATGGGTATTATGAGTCGGGCACTTCCTGCATTCACGCTGGAGTAGGATAACGCACGTGTTTTTTTATTTTTACAGTTTACTCATAGTATTAATGTTAACTGATAATTCGTTGCGTTTGTTGTAAGTTCGGACGCTGAATTTCTGTCTCTAAGGCTTGGCTGGAAACGCAGACGCGATGACCCACAACTTTTTACTGAAGGCTTCTTTACTGTACAAAGACATTTGCCCTGAACAGTCGCGCTTTCTCCTGTAAGTACACTTTAATTTTCATTTTCTATTCATATTTTACATGACATGAAATCTATTTTACATTCGTTTCTTAATGTTTACGGCTGTAATGTCATGAAGTCACCAGTAGATGTCAGGATTCTCCTCGTCAACTCTTCATGATGTACTTCAGAAGACATTGCAGATCATGTTTATGTCTGATGAGAACTGAACTGATGAGATTTAGTTTCTGCTTTTTGACAATACACAATAGACTACAATGAAAATATAATAAGCATAACTGATGAGACAAAGTGACATTAAAATGATTTTTTATAGATTGTTTATAAAAATACTGATCATTATTAGTTTTATAATAATAAATACTGCTATTCTTTATATATTGCTATTATTTTATATTTTGTAAGGTGGATTATTTTATTATTCTTCGGTATTTGTAATATGAGTAAGCACTATTTTAATGACAAAACAGTATAACAATAGCAATATGAATCTTTCTTGTTTTTTGATGTTGTATTATATTACATTTTATATGTTAGTACTAGCAATAACTATGGATAATGTAAAATTATAATAACAATAACAATATTGCTATTACTTGGTTATTATTAATATTAATACAAAACAATTTAATATTAATGTTAACCTCTCTATTGACTATTGTATATTATATCAAAATATAAATGTGTGTGTGTGTGTGTGTGTGTGTGTGTGTGTGTGTGTGTGTGTGTGTGTGTGTGTGTGTGTGTGTGTGTGTGTGTGAGCGCAATAATAAAATGTATATTATTATAAATATGCAAAATCAATGTTTTAATGACAAAATGATGATAGTATTAGCAATATAAATCAGTTTTGTTTTATATATAATGGTATTAATAATAAAACAAATTAATATTAATATTTTTTATCATTAATACTACAAATAAAACCGCAATAAATAATTATAATATTGCAAATAATTAATGTTGTTAATAATAAAGTAAAAAAAAATGTCATATCTGTTCAATTCTCAATAGTTTAAATAAATGTTATTGTTTTGTAATAGAAATATCATAATACATAGAGTCAGTGTTTTAACAGCAATAATACAAATTATAAAATTACAATGACAGTAGAATAATTGTAATTGTTTAATCATTTTAATAGTAATAATAGTGTTATTGATAATTAAATAATGTATTGTGGTTATTTTTATTAGTATTAAAAATAGTTACAACGTATTACGTACAATCAATGTTTTAATGAATAATAAATGAAAAATAGTAATGTAAATCACTCATTTTTACAGATTTGTTGATCATTTATTGAAGGTTCAATGGTGTAGGGAAAGATTAATGTATCAATAACATAATCACAATATAAATGATTCTTATTTATTTTTTATATTTATTTTTTATTTACTGCTAATACTATTTTTAATTAAAAACTAACTAAAAACTAATTGTTAATCTTAATGCTAAAATATTTTTTAATGCAGAAGTTTACTTTACCCGTCTTGTTTACTTTTTTTGTGAATAGCAGAAAAGCACCATGAATGTGATGAAATTAGCACGTTCACTCTAATCTCATCAGCTAAACAGTGTGTTAGTAATTTAGCAGCTTTTGTTCGCTGTGTTGGGTTAATCCCACATGTAACATTATTAAACACTTGTTCCTTTAATATACTGAAAGTGAAGGGAACAATTTCTCATCTCATTTGAAACATCCCTAGTAATCACCCACGGCATATATGAATTGCACTTTTATAGATTACAATTTTTTAACCAGTGTTTTGATCTTAAAAAGCATTGCAGTTTATATGAAGTGTCAATACTAAAGAACAGTTTGTAAACACGTTTTCATGGTTCGTTCACATTTCAAAAGTTTTTCTTGATTAGAGTTTTTGTCTTGTTTCTAATCTAAATATTTAATAATCCTTAAATCGAGAAGCATTTTCTAGACGAGCAAAAAAGATTCTTGTTTTCAGAAATTAGATATCATAATTAAGTATGTTTTCTTTAAAACAAGCCAAATAGTCTGCCAATGGAGTAAACCAAAATATTGAAGATACACTGTTCATTTTGTCCCAACACAAATTGATAAAATTAACGTAATGGTTTTAACAAATTTTAGTGGATTAAACATAAAACAGTTACGTTGTTTAAATAAACTCAATAATTGTGTTGCTTCAACTATTTTTTTGAGTGTATTGGCAGTTATTTTGCTTAATGTTGATAATGACATTGGATGAGAAAAGAAGGACGCAGGATTGCTTAAAAAGTAGCATATTGAAAACAGTTTCTTTCATTCAGTTTCTTTCTTGCAAAGTCATGAAAGCAAAAACCTTTAGCTAGGTTTGTCAAATATTTAAGTTTGTAAAAAATTTAAGTAAATAACCATCAACTTGACAGATTAACACCAATAACTATGAGGAATCTTAAAATGTTCTTTAATTTGATCATAGTTTTTTCATTGTGTGTGTGCATGTTAATGTAACTCATGAAAAATGTTTAAAATGGCTCCTATCCGGATGAATTCAAACAAGCAGTGACCACAAAAATGTATAAAATAGTACTGTTCTCTGAATTTGATCTCCACTGTAATGTCAAAAATATCCGTAAATTAGCAGTTTTACATATTTTGTAATTCATGTTTTTATTTTTATATTCCCCCTTATGTTTTTGAATTGCATTATGGGACCTTGATCTTTCTTCCATCAACTTTTAACCTTAAAAAGTTTGAAAAGTGACTTTTATTAACAATCTTTATATTTTAAAGTGATATATTGTCTAAGTTAGTGTTGTACAGTCACTGGCCACTTTATTAGGTACACCTTACTAATACTGGGTTTGACCCCTTGTTACCTCAGAACTGCCTTAATCCTTTGTGGCATAGATTCAACAAGGTACTGGAAATATTCTCCATAAAATTTGGTCCATATTGACATGTTAGCATCACGCAGCATCCGTGATGCAAATCTCCTGTTCCACCACATCCCAAAAGTGCTCTATTGGAATGAGGTCTGGTGACAGTGGAGGCCATTTGAGTATAGTGAACTCATTGTCATGTTCAAGAAACCAATCTGAGATGATTCGCACTTTGACGTGCACGTTATCCTACTGGAAGTAGCCATCAGAAGATGGGTACACTGTGGTCATAAAGGGATGGACATGGTCAGCAACAATACTCAGGTAGGCTGTGGCGTTGACATAATGCATATTTGGTACTAATGGGCCCAAAGTTTGGCAAGAAAATATCCACCAAACTATTACACCGCCAGCACTAGCCTGAATCGTTGATTCAAGGCAAGATGGATCCATGCTTTCATGGTGTTGACGCCAGATTCTGACCATCCTTCTGCCATACGAATGTCGCAGCAGAAATCAAGACTCATCAGACCAGGCAATATTTTCCCAATTTTCTATTGTCCAATTTTGGTGAGCCTGTGTGAATTGTAACCTCAGTTTCCTGACCTTAGCTAACAGGAGTGACACATGGTGTGGTCCTCTGCTGCTGTAGCCCAAGGTTTGACATGTTGTGAGCTCAGAGGAGCTCTTCTACAGACCTCAGTTGTAACGAGTGGTTATTTGAGTTACTGTTGCTTTTCTATCAGGTCAAACCAGTCTGGCCATGGCATCCACTGACCTCTTCTGACCTCAGCTGACCTCCTCTGACCTCTGTCATCAACAAGGCATTTGTGCACACAGAACTGCCGCTCACTGGTTATTTTATCTTTTTCTGACCATTCCCTGTAAACCCTAGAGATAGTTGTGCGTGAAAATCCCAGTAGATCAGCAGTTTCTGAAATACTCAGACCAGCCCGTCTGGCACCAACAACCATGCCATGTTCAAAGTCACTTAAATCCCCTTTCTTCCCCATTAAGATGCTCGGTTTGAACTGCAGCAGATCGCCTTGACTTGCTGTCATGTGATTGGCTGATTAGACTGGTGTACCTAATAACGTTGCTGGTGAGTGTATATTAAGCTAAAATCTTTTCTGTTGTTTTACAGACTTACTTCTTTACATATTATTTTTATTTTTCATATATTATATTATTTTACACTAATGTAATGTCATTAAAAATCACCTTATTAATACAAAGAGTTCAATTTTCAACATCAAAAAACAACAAAGCAGAGATCAAAGTTCCATAATGCAATTCACAACAGTAAATAATTGAAAAACACTTGTGAATCACAAAATACAGAAAGCGTTTTTTAACAGATATTTTTTTCAGCGTGGATGACTTTGGATCAGTTCTTAATCAACACAATTTTACACTGAAGCACATTTCATAAGCACTTGGGAATGCTTTTAAGTGTATTAGATATTGACTGTGTTCTCACAGCAGAGTGAAGATAAATAACACACGGCCTTGGGTTGTGGCATGTTTTTCTTGGATTAAATGTCTCCCCGGCCCATGTTCAGATTTCACGCACTGCATGTTTTGAGCATTAGTTGGCTTGTTGTGTTGGGAGAGCGAAGGGTACATCTGTAATGACTCACGGCGGTTCTGTGCGTAACTTACTGGAACCCGTCGTCTGAAAGAATGCTTGCTATGAGATCTTCTTAAGTTAGTGCGCAGAGGTTGCATTCTTGTTATAAATCTCTTGTGTTAAGCCTCTTAAATGGCAGGCTGACTGTCGATATCTTCCACAGGTGTCATCATAAGGCACGTTTTACTTCTGCCTGTATATATAAGCTGTTGTGTCCGGTTTGGAGTTGCTCGAAGAACACCGTAATGGGGCATTATTCTCTTTCCTGATTTTTATCGCAGGGGTTTAGAGTCTTTGTTGATAATAATCCTGCCTAGACAGCACATTGTAAATTAAATTACAAGGGCTTTTTTCTTATCCTGGTTGTGAGAGCACTTAAAAGGAGCTGCATTATTAAATAGGTACATTTATTTAAATAAGATTTCCACAAGGGAGAATCATAGCCAGTGGCTTAGTTGGAACTAGTAGCAGTTAGTGTTTCATAAATTACACAGAATTAATTAATTAAAAGGAAGAAAACAGTTATCTTAAGCACAGATTCAAAATGAAAGATAAATCAATTGTAAATAAAGTAGGGCTGTATGATATTGGAAAAAACTTGACATTGCAATGTTTTTTCTGCGATATGTATATGAATATAATTTCACCAGATCACTTAGTGTAATTAGTGATTAATGATTTAATAGGACAGTTAATCTGCATACATGAAACACATTATGTTTTATTGATTTTTTTTAATTTTTTTTTTAATGCTCATCTGGATTAGAGTATAAATTGAACAAATAAATGTAAACAAATAACACTGCATAGTCTTCATTGGTTAAAGTTAAATACAGTTATTTTTTTTATAAAACTACAAATGTTATCATTTAAACTAACACAAATGGTTTAAATGCACTTGAAATCTTACCTAATTCTCATACTCTGTGATGTGACTGTCGCGAATTTACACATAGCAAAATCAATGCTGAAGCAATGCTGAAGTGTATTTTAATAAATTAAAGTTTTTGGTAGTTTAACAAAATACAGTAATTAGCATTTGAAGTGAATCAAGACCTTCCATCAAAGTTGTCCTAAAACTACTTAACAGCACCCATTATTTGTCCTAGGAAAATTACGAAAAACTTTAAAAAATAAATAAATAAACAAACACGTGCATATTCTCTGTCATTTTCATAAAAGCTCAGAGAGATAACAAAAAAATGAAATAAGTGTAAGCCAAAAAGTATAAATTAAAGGAATGCAAATTTGTTTCCTAAAAGAAAGCAAATATTTTTAACATTTTATTGCAATAAAAACAAAATTTTAGTTTGGAAAAAAAAGTCATAAAACCATTACGTTTAGACAATACTAAAACAAGTTAAATAGTCAAGTAAGGAAAATTATAGAAAAAAATTGCAAAATAAAGTCAAAAAAGACAACAATTTAAAAACAAGATGTAATGCATTTCGGATTTTTTTAAATTCAATTTTAATTGCATTACAATAAAAGTGCTAAAAAAAAAACTAAATTACTGACACAAAATAAACGTAAAATAAATCCACTGAATGAAGAGAGAGAAGCCCAATCCCAATTCTATTTTGTACCCCTACCTCTTTCCCTTCCGCTTGGCCCTTTGCTCTAGAAACAGAGTGTGAAGGGGAAGGGCTTCAAAATGTACCCCTGAGAAATGGGACAGCCCTACATCAGCAGCACACGTCATCATGTCATCATGATCTCTTGCTTCATATGAGATTGTTGACCGCGACTGCTGTAGTTATTCCAGTTGTGTTATTTTTTGGTATTTATCTTTAGAAAATCACTACAGGCTTATATAATGTTATCATATAATGATATTATGTGGCAATAAGATCGTAACTGTATTGTGCATTTACACCCTGGCCATAATTATCTATGTAAACAAACCAAAACAACATTAACATTATAGCAGACTCTGGAAAAAGGTCATTAACAGCCACTAGACTTTTCAGACAGGGTATTCGGTGTCACCAGGTGACAGAATGTTGTCGGACTACTATACAGGAGTTAATAAAAGTGATTATAGACAGCAAAATTTAGTGTTTTTAATTTAGTTTTTTTAAAGCATCACAGTAAAACACAAACACCAATATGAATTTACTGAAACGTGCTTGTTTTTTGTAGAAATTCATAATAATGACAACAAAAACACTAGTTTTGCATCTCCTAACTTCTGTGTGAAGCTATGCTGCTGCTGTTGATGGTGTATTGGAAATTTTCGTACCCTTGGTTTCGAGTGTGGTCAAGAAAAATCTCAGTTTCAAGGGCTATCCAGCCCTACGAGTTCAGGCTAAAGAGCATTGGGACACCCCTATCCCGTCACGTAAACATGCAAAACGAGAAAATAGGGGTAAGGGGAAGTCTAAGGGGTAGAATTGGGATTGGGCCAGAGAGAAAGGGAGTTTTGTTAAATGTTTCATTTAAACTTTTAAAGCCTGAACAAAAATAGATTTGTATTATTTATTTTTATTTATTTATTTGCTAAACAAATGCATAACTCTGTAAAGTGTTTGGATGTTTGGAGGCCATTTATCAGACTTCACAGCAGGCTGGAATTATTTCCCCTCACACTTCATCACCACCCAGATAACAGCTCAATGTCCTCTCAATGGGAACAAGAGGTCTGCCCCGGCTCTGTGGGACACGCTGGGAAACATCCGCTGTGGCATTACAAACACTTGCAGATGATGGAGCAATGCATGATGAGAATTAAACTGCCCCCGTTAGCATACACGTGCCACACAATAACAACAGGCAGCTTTTAGCAATGTGAACTAATTTTAGACAGGATTATGAAGCTTAGACAACGGAGGCAGGCAGAACAACACCATCTCCTAAAATTAGCAAGGACACTCATAAAGTCTCGAGGGGGAAATGAAAGCCTTGGGGGAGTCACGGTCATAAGTTCAAGCACCGACAGCATTTTGACCTCAGTATTTTTAAGGAGTCATGCTGTAATTCTTACTGAGTGCATTGATTGTTGTTAGACTGAGTGTATACCAGACTGCAGCATTTTCTGTTATTCACACACTGTTGCAGAGTTTCTACCCTGCATGTATGAATCTATAAGATATAAACAAACCGCAGGCTTACTTTTAGATGGGGCACAAGACCAATGCCAAGACTGTGAATTATTCATATGCTGCAATATTTGAGAATAACTATTTTAGTCTGAGATTTACAGCCTAACTCTGCTTTTTTTGTTTTTGTTACAGGCAGAGGCATCAGAGCACTGGCAAGTTATTATAATTATTATTATATATATAATATATTTGTATATTAAATAATTTCTGTCTGTCTATCTGTCCGTCTGTCCGTCCGTCTGTCTGTCCGTCTGTCTGTTCCTCTGTCTGTCCGTCTGTCTGTTTGTTTGTCTATACGTCTCTCCATCTATCTATCCGTCTATCTATCTAAACAAAAAAACGTTAAAAAGGCAACCAATAAATCATGCTAGTGTGAAAATCATGTTGGAGCCATGCTAGCAACATACTAAAATTTAAGCAGTTGGCTAACTTATGCTATAAACATCCATCCACATGCTAGCAGTGTGTTAGAACCATGCTAAAATGTTAGCAGTTGGCTAAATCATGCTATAAACATTCATTCAATTCAATTCAGCTTTATTTGTATAGCGCTTTTACAATGTAGATTGTGTCAAAGCAGCTTCACATAAATGGTCATAGTAACTGGATCAGGGTAGTTCAGTTTTTAGTATTTAAGTTCAGTTCAGTTTAGCTCAGTTCAGTGTGGTTTGAAGTCATTATTGAGAGTCCAAACACTGAAGAGCAAATTCATCGATGAGTAGCTTTTCAGATCCTGAACCATGCAAGACATTGGTGACAGCGGAGAGGGAAAAAAAACTTCACCAATAGGAGAGTGAAGAAAAAAAAACCTTGAGAGAACCAGACTCAGTTCGGCACGACCAGTTTAATTTCTCCGCTAGATTGATTCATACATCAATCTATCTGATAAGTCTGCTAGCAATTTGATAATCATGTTAGAACAAGGCTAGCAACGTGCTATAATGTTAGCAGTTGGCTAGATCATGCTATAAACATCCATCCATTTGATAAACCCTGCTAGCAGTGCGTTAGTATGTTAGAACCATGCTAACAACATGCTTAGCAGTTGGCTAAATCATGCTATAAACATCTATACGTCTGATAAATCATGCTAGCAGTGTAGATCATGTTAGAACCATGCTAGCAACCTAATAATGTTAGCAGTTGGCTAAATGGTATAATTTTCCAGATTTTAATTATCTAATTTTAAATATTTCAAAAGATTAAAGGGCAAAATTAAATCTAATGTTTTACTGTAAAGTTTTGTATTCTGTTTTTATTTATATTCGCTTATTTTGGATAAACTTTTATTGAAACATAAAGTTGTTATTGAAGTGATTAGTATGTATTATTAGTATTATGTATTAGGCTATTATTTGTTGATCTTGCCATGAAATAGCCATGGTTTGGTCAAATGTTTGTTTAAGAATGTAGAAATTAGATGGACTTTGATTAGATTATGAATGAATGAAATATTAGATTAGATTAGATGTTTGAATTAAATATAAAAATCTAATGATTGTAGGCCCAACATAATATATTGTAAACATTGTGCTTGTAAAGATTACAACTTTCTCAACCCCTATATAGAACAGGCAAAATATGTGGATACAGATAACATTACCAATGTTTATTGTCTACACAAGACCTTGTAAGCAACACAAGAGAAAGTTGGTCTTAAAAGGTAGGGTGACCCAAGCTAGATCCATTAAGTTCTACCACAATTCCTGATGTCAAACTAGAATCCATTTCTATGGCCTTCACAAACCTCAAAGACTGCCCGACAGCGGGGTTGGATGACCACATATTGCAAAAGCTGTTTTCCAAAGTCCAAAATGCCAAACCCTCCTCAGAATAGAGCACAGCATCACCTGCTTTATTTTAACCAGTTGCCATGCCAAAAACCTCATCTATATTTCTCCCTCTGTTTCAGCCGCTGCATTGCCGCAGTCTATAATCTGCCCCTTCTGTTTCGAGTGGCGGAAACTGGGCAATCATCACGTGCGTCTGCGGCCCAAGCGGAAGCCCACGGCGAGGATCAGACGACTTCTAAAGAGAGAGTCTGCAGGAAAGAGACTCAGCGCTGAACAGACTGCAGTCCTGCAAAAGTTTAAAAGAGCCTCCAATGCTATGGTGAGGTCCAGTCCACCTGTTTTATGTCCACTTCAGTTTATTTTCTGCCCTCAGTATCATAAGTGTGGGTGTTTAAGATTAGATTAGATGTATGAATGGAAAACTGACATAGTTAACCATGTTAACGTTGAGTTGAAGACCAAAGGATTCATATTTATAACATATTTCCTAAGTGCTGTTTAACAGAGCATGGATTTATCTCCACAGTATTTTCTATTGTATTTTTCTTCTGGAGGAAGTCTTATTTATTTTAGCTTGGCTGGAATCATAAAGATTTAAAAATATTAAAAAAATTGTCAATATTATTAGCCGCCTAAAGAATTGTTTTTTCCTGATTAGATACATATAAAACCAATGAATTGTCTAATTCACCTAACTTGCCTAGTTAACCTTAATAACTTTAGTAAAATAACTAAGTAAAGACGTTAAATGGCACTTTAAGCTGAATACTAATATCTTGCAGCATAACTAGTAAAATATTATGTACTGTCATCATGTGAAAGACGAGTGTTATGTTACATTTATTGTCTGATAATAAAATATAAATAAAACAAAATATACAGTAAATAAATAAATAAATGAATGTGTTTAAAACTGCTAATTAAAATTAAAATTTTTGTAAAAAAAAATCATACAGATGTTAAACTCTAGAATGTTTAAGCAGGACTTGACAATAAGCTGTTGAATTATTTTAAAATAATGTACACCTAATGTGGAGATAAAGTCATGGTATTAGGCCATGTGATCTTGTCAAATATTCTGTGAAAGCATTATTATTTTGATTTAATAGATTAATTTTTATTCATTTTTATTATTACTTCATTACAAGTTTTCAGCAGCATCATCGCTACTAATAATACTATCATGCTACCGAGAAATTAAGCGGTTACTGCTTTCGTTAATTATTCCTTTAACTGATTATTAACAGGCCTGACATTAACCGTGTGCATGTGATCGTCCTTTCAGTATCACTCACAGCATGTTTTTTACCTGCTTTCTTTTGCTTAGTTATTTTTGTTAATGTGGTTTATTGTCATTTTTTACAATAACATTGCTTTAATATGAGATTAGCACACACTTTATATGTAGATAACTGGTGATCTGGGATCTTAATCCAGGAAAGATTACAGTGGACATTTAAATACATGACAGTAGTTCTTTTTTTAAATGTCTTTTTTTTTTTTAAGGAAAAATTTGTTGACTTAAAAGGTGCATGTATATAGCTACACTTTGCTAGTTTTGACACATTATTAAAAATTAGTGGCTAATAAATAATTATTTATTTTTGGTGTGGTCAGAGATAAATTTGTTAAATCCTTAACTTTGAGCCCTGTAAAGTCATGTGAAATAAAAATTAATTGCAATGCAACACAACCCATTTGCTCATCCACATTGAGCAACTCTTACACAGCACACACAAAAAGTGAAATGAATGAACACAACATCTAAATCAAGTCATTTTAGCATGTCAAAGTCAAATTTATGCATGTAAAATATATTTTTCCAACAGCAAAAGTGCGGTTAGTGAAAATGACAAGTGGCTAGTAATGTTAGAAATTTCCTAGCCACTGTGGCTGGTGATCCAAAAAGTTAATGTCAAGCCCTGATTATAACCATGACATTACATCAAGCACATTTAAGATGTAAGCATTCATATTTTAATATTGTAATTTTTATTTATTTATTTTTATTATTATTATTTTTCAAAATGTACTTATTGTATAGATGCAATAGAGACAGGGAAGTATGGGGGAGAGAGGGTGAATTAGATCAGGATGTGACCCAGGTCAGACTCAGACTGGACATCCAATGAGCCAACCACTTTTAACATTTCTGATTTTAAAGCTTTTGTCCTTCTTTATGTTTATAAGCAACATATTTTCTCTATATTAACTAATCTGGGGGATACAATGAAAAAGTAGTCTGTTGTAATGTAACGTTAATTTAAAAATGAACTATTTTGGCTGCTGTTGCTTTGAAGGACACAGATCAGGACACAGAAGGACACAGGATCATTGATGTATCCCTAAAAGCAGTTCCCATTGACTTCCACTTTAAAATAAAGCCTGCTCTTACTTATGCACTCTTAATAGACTGTGGGACACAAATGAAATCTTGTTTTCAAAATGCATCCTAATACATGATGCAAATGTTTAGAAGTTCAGCCAGGAGTATGATTCTTTATTTTTAGGAGCTATGTTAATAGACCATCACACAATAATTCTCATTCGTCTGGCAGAAAGACATCTCTTGCACACCGAAATGCTCTTTTTATAGCGATTCATTTAGCCTCCGATGACTTTGATCTAAAAGCCAGGAAGATGATTTAGAGCGGAAAAGTTCCCATTTTAAAAGACTCATTCTAAAGCATGACAGGATCTGTGCTTGTGCTTAGATTTAGAAATGAAGCAAGACACAGGAGGACAAAATGTTTCATCCATTGGTAACACACGTTACATGTTTCCATTAGTTAATATTTACAAAAAGGAACAAACAATGAACAATACATTTATTACACTCTTCTTATTTGGGTCACACTTTTATTTTAAAGTTCAATTCTTGCTATTAGAGACTTTTAGCTCAATAAATTACAAATTAATAGTTAGTAAGGTAGTAGTTGGGTTCATGTATTGAGTAGGAATAGAGATGTAGAAGTAGGGCTGCCTGATATGGTAAAAAATGCAATCTAATTGTTTTCCATTTTAAACGATAACAATATATATTTCGATATAAGTTGTTAATGCTTCCAGAGTATCCCAACATTGACTGAAGCTACATTAAATGGGTCCATTAAATGGCATAACATTTCATTTGATAAATTTTCAATTTGGTACATCTCTAATGTCAACACACTTCTAGATTCCCATTGTTACACATTTCTGCTGTGTGATTGGCTCTTAGATCAATATAGAGTAAAAAAGTTCAGATTTTATCATTGGTATTGATAAATTTGAACGCAATCAAATATAATATTGTTATTCAGCTTAGCCCTTAGAACAACATCATACTATATAAGTACTAATAAACAGCAATATCTTAATAGGCAGGTAATAAGCCCCACCTCATAAGACATCACGTTGTACCCATTTTCACTTTTTTGTAAAATACATGTGTCCTAATAGTGTTTTTAGCAGCGTGGGACACGTATATGACTGTCAACATCTCAAAAAATGTGTTTTGGTGTTTCGTGACCCTTAAAGAAAGATGGTCAGACAAACAACAGGAGCAGGCAGAATACAATCCTAAACTTGAGAACAGTACAGGGATCAAAACAAAGAAACACTCACAAATTTTGATCAGCGTTTGAATTGAGGGTTTATGTAGTGTGTGTAATGTCAGAGTCCAAATTGTTCACAGCTGTAGTGGGTGATTTATCATGGGAGTTGTAGTCCAAGCGAATGACAGGTTGCATATACAGATGGTTGATGTGTCCTTGAGTGAGTCTCGTGGAGGCATGACATTGGCTTCATCCAATGTTCGAATTTTGTGCCATAAATAAATTCAAATTAGCAAATATTTATGTAAATAAGGCCTCAGTTGCACATTTAGATACATTTTTTAACCTTGTAATACAAAAATGTATGCAACTCTTAATGTAATTAGTCAACTGGGGAGATATGTTCATAACTACTTTAACCAATTCACATTGCCTTGACCCTCAGTAGCATCGCTCTGGAGCTATACGTGCTGCTCTACACGAACACACACTGTATCAGTATCTGAGACTCTGTTGACTGGTAGGCGTAAGACTGTTAGATTCTGCACACATTGCTGGCATTTGCTTCTCTGCGGGAGAGGAAGATTCTGGCAGGAGCCAATAATGAACTTGATAGGGAGCCAATGTCAGTAGAGTTCATTTCTATTAAGCCTGTCTTATTTTCCCATCCTACATTAGTGTGTTAGCATTGAGAGCAAAAAAAGCATTCAGAACATTTTCAATGCAATCTCTCAACTCTTTGGTGGAGGTCATGGAAAAACATATATCTCTGTTTGTCAGCATGGTTCGTCAGATCTAGCAGAGCTTAAAAATAGCCTCAATCTATTTTAAGATGGAGGATCTGTCATTCTAGGTTAATGCCATATTTTAAGGTTATAATAAAGAAAGCAGTAAAACAGCATATTACATTTATTCCCAAAGGATCATGCGACACTAAAAACTGTAGGAATGATGCTGAAAATTTAGCTTTGCCATAATAAGAATAGATTACATAATATATTTGTGTGTGTGTGTGTGTGTGTGTGTGTGTGTGTGTGTGTATTTTAATAGAAAATGTAAGGTTTAAATTGTAGTAATATGTATTGTTAGCATTTTTAAATAAATGTAACCTAAAACAATTATAAAATATACAAAATAATGGTTTATAATGATAATATTCTTGTTATATTATTATTATTGTTTTCGTAATATTTATTATTATTTTTATTTTCCGGTGACACGGTGGCTCGATGGTTAGCACTGTCGCCTCACAGCTAGAAGGTCAGTTTCTGTGTGCATGTTCTCCCTGTGTTTGCGTAGGTGCTTGGTTTCCACAGCAGACCTATTTGAATAAAATAAATATTCATTTAAATAAATATTTGAATAGTGAATTGAATAAACTAATTGTGTTTAAATGAGTGTGTATGGATGTTTCCTAGTACTGGGTTGCAGCTGGAAGAGCATCGGCTGTGTAAAACATGCTGGATAAGTTGACAGTTCATTCTGCTGTGGCGACCCCCGATTAATTAAGGGGACTAAGCCAAAGGAAATGAATGAACAAGTTATTATTTTTTTAACAGTTTATTTTTATTTATTTATTAATTTCAAACAACAATTTATTTTTTAACAAGAGGACAAAGTATCACTAGTTGAAAGGACTCTGAAATGTTTTGCGTTTTTTCGTTATGGATTAATTAATACACAGAAATACATAGAAACGATACGAAAATGTCAGACTTCAGTGTGTAAAGACTTTTACTTTTAACTTAATTGAAATGTACTTGCCTATTTGATTATTTTTTAC